ACTGCTGCCACCACCACCAACAGCACTGCTTCCTATCTCCAGCCGCTGCTGTCTGCTACTCGGAAAGGCGCTTGCCTTTCTTTCCGCTCCCACCCTACACGGCAGCACCCCAGCCCCACCCCAGCCCCAGCCCCAGCCATCTTTCTTTGTGGCTTGCTCCAGCCACCCCACTCACTGGCCGACTCAAATCAAGACTGATTTTTGACGCATCACGCCATTTCCCTGTTCTTGCTTGCTCTCGTTCACCCTGCCAGCCTGCCGCTGCGCGCCCCCAATCCACCTCGCTCACCTGATCCGCTTGCTCTGGTCTTGCTGGTGCCGACCCCCGTCTTGACCGACATTTCTCCACCCCACCCCACCCCACCCCGCGCAACCTTCTCACTGGCATGGCAGAGCCTTGCTTCTTCTTTCCCGCCTAAACACCCCTTGCTCTGCACGCTCGTGCTCTTGCTCCGCCTGCCTTGTGGGCAGTTGTTGCCATTTGACGCTGCCTGCTACCCTTCCCCATCTTGCCGCCTCTTCGTTACACCAAGGGCTCAAAGAAACAAGTCTCTCACTTTCCGGCGCTGCGATTTGACAGAGCCAGTTGTCTTCTCTTAGTCTTGGGATCTCAACCGTCCCGATTAGCCCCCATCCCACCGACTGTGCACGGGTGCCCACCATGGATCATGCTGCCACTTCGGTCATTCGTCTTTCCTCCTCGGCTCCCACTCGACCTGAAGCGTCAGTGACCCTCCTTGATGCCCCTCGCGCCCCAACCCGCGCAACGCCCAGGCACACCTCATTGGATGCCTTTCCCTTGGGCTTCTCTGGCTTGCGTGCAGGCGATCCCTTCCAAGCCGTTTCCACGAAGACTTTGAACAAGTTTACCCTTTAGGTACAGGCAGCTTTGGAAAGGTGCGTTGCCCATCCCCCCCTATCCCCTTTGTCCTATGCTGCCAGGCGGCCCAGCCACCCTCAACACGGCGTCAACACGGCGGTCCCTCATCCCTTCACATGCTGAACAAAAAACACCTAGGTGGTGCAAGCCTTGCATCGCTTGGATCGTCACTCTTATGCCGTCAAAATCCTCGATCTACTCGGCTGCCCCGAGGCCGAGGACTTTGACGATGACATCTCCTTTGCCGACGAGAGCGCGCCCAGCGCGCCAGTTAAGCGCCATGTCATGCGCGAGGTAGCCCTTCTCTCCAGCCTCAACCACGGCAACATTGTCAGGTATCTTTCGCATAGCGTCATACCCAGCTGCCCCTCGCCGTCCCCCACCGCCCCTCCCGATGCACGCTCATAAGGCTTTGCTCGTTGCTTTTTGCAGGTACTACCAAGCCTGGGTGGAGGACGTGGAAATCAAACATAGCTCTCGACAAGAGCGTCGCGTTTCGATCCGCACCATCGACGATGATGTCCTCAGCTCCTGGATGGAGCCGTCTGGGGCCAAGCCCCTGATGGAGCAGTGCCAAGCTTGCGGCACCGATTATCAAGCATGGAACGTGCTCGTCGGTGACGTGCCTCTGGCGCTTGCTCACGGCCACACCTGGTGCCAGGCCTGCTTCCTGGTCAGTGCTACCCGCGTCCGTCCCCGTTACCCCGTTTCGCGCGCCCTTTTCAAGCCCTCCTCTCATGAAGCCGTGCACGTGCAGCGCGAGGCTGGCCTGGTCGAGGGCACGGACAACGAGCTCCTGGATAACCTTGTTTTTGAAGTGCGCTTTGAAGAAGATAGCGAGGCCAACCGTTCGAACAATAGCCATGACCAGCGGCTCGCCCTGGCTCAAAATATCATCTACTCGTCGCGCATCTGCATTCAGATGGAGCTTTGCAATTCCACCTTGCAGCATGTCCTGCACGCCAATATTGCCTTGCCAGATGAGGTCACCTGGTGCTACCTCCGCCAGACCCTAACCGGTTTGGCCTACTGCCATGGCCGCAACATTATCCACCGTGGTAGGTTCCAGGCTCTGAATAGACGCCAGGAAGCCCCCTCTCCCCCCTTCTTCCCCATCCTTGCACGTGCACGTGTTGCGCAAAGCCATGGACACTCACCCGCTGCGCTTGTCACACGCCATGCTTAGACATCAAACCCAGCAACATTTTCCTCTCGTGGCAAGGGTCGCGTGTGCGCGAGCTGCGTGACCTGGCCCACCTCTCCCCCGCTGAGCTCTGCAACCTCCAGATCAAGATTGGTGACTTTGGTCTGGCCAAAACGACGGAAGTCAGCGGTGGCCTGCGTTCTCGCAATTCATCGCGACTCCACTCTTTGCCGTCCACGTCCTGCACCACCAACATGTCCAACCTCTCCCTTGCTAGTCTTGATGGTATGCTGCGTTGGCTGGCCATCAGTTCTCCCAAAGCCCAAGTCCAAGATGATTATCTCACGCACCTTCTTTCCTTATGCGCTCTCTCTTTTTGTTTTAATCGCCCCTTGAAGAGAGCGAGCTCGATGATTCATGGACCACAGATATTGGCACGCTGCTGTACATGCCCCCTGACGCTTCAGAAGAATGGTCGGCGGCCTCGGACATGTATGTCTTTGGCGATCGCGGCTGACCCTCTTCCTCACGCCTGTATCCTGTACTGACTTGCCGGTTCACCTGCCCCAAATTCCTTTCCTCTTTGAAAATCTTGACCGCCTTTAGTTTTGCGCTGGGCATTACGTTCTTCGAGCTGTTGGTCCGCTTCAATACAGCCATGGAACGCGTCTCCGTGCTTTCCAACCTTCGCAAGCTGCCCCTCGAGGTAGATTCAAGTCTCATCGCCCACAGGGTTGTGCCTGCGTGACTTGGTTTGGTATGCCCGCGTGCAAGCTGATCTTGGTCCTTGACGCACCTGTAGCTTCCGAAGGAATTTACCAACCAACGCTTTGAGCACGGCGTCGTCCTGCGTCGCATGCTCAACCATGTCGCACGCCTTCGCCCTGCTGCCCAGGAGCTGTTGAATGAGGTGAGTGCGTACGCACGTGACCGCTCATGTGTCCAGTAGGTGGTTCTGTCCTGTCTTGCGCGGGTTTCACTTTGCTTCTGTACGCTCATGTTGTTGTGCTGATGCCAGGGAGTGGGCTTGAAGCACGATATGGGCATGCGCCGTGCTGAGAGCAGTCCGCGCTTGAGCAGTCTGGATGAGACAGTCGTACCATCGGCCGGACCCCCCATGAATTCCCGACTGGCCAATTCCTGGCCCGCTGCAACATGGCACCACTCTGGGCCGTCCATGGGCATTGCGGCCTTTGACTTGGGCGGAGACGATGACAGTGATGAGAGCACGCTCATGGACGCCACCGCCACGACGCCCAGCAGCACCAACGTCAATGAGACGCGGTCTGCAAGCTGTCACAGCGAGGACTCGACTCCCCTCAAGTGTCCCGGTCGGCGCCAGACTTGCAACCAAAACGAGTTTGAGGATCAGGACAGAGATGTGGACGCCTCGGCTGCCTTCGGTTCGGACTCGGAGTCGGATAATCAAACGCTGTGCGACAGCAGTTCACCCCGTCCCATCGGTCTCAATGTGGTCCACGGCCTGTCCACCCTCACATTGCCGACCACTCGCATGTCCCCATCCACCGACAGTGCCATTCAGTCACCGTACGTACCTCGTTGTCGCCAGGTGCTTTGGATCACCGGTCGAGGGAGAAAGGCCTCGTGCCGCTCCGTGTGACACTGTGTTTGTTTCACTTGATCTTACTTCCTTCGCTGGCACCGCTTCACGTTGCGCAGCACGCTAGACCTCGAGACGACGGGCGTCAATCCCTTTCACGTTGGCAAGCTGACAATGCAACATTCGGGCCCAGTTTGGGCTGGCGCAGATCTCCCCAAGGCATCAACACGCTCTCCGCGCCGCCGTTCATCGCTGTGCGATGCCTGTGAGCCACCCACCAGTAGCAGCAAGGACGGGTGCAAGGATGGTGTCAAGGATGGTGTCAAGGATGGTGTCAAGTTGACGGAAGTCCTTGAGCGCCAGCAACGTACGATTTTCCACATGCAGGAGCAGTTTGCTGCGCAACAACGCGAGCTGTTTGCCCTCCGGGCCCTCCTGGGCAGGCGCGGTGGTGCTGGAGGACCCGTCCAAAAAGGCATGCGTGTTGCATCTGCCAGCTAGTGCCGCATCGTGCATTCTTCATCATGGCCTCCAGCATGTTGGTTCCATCTCCTCTTTTTATGTGTAACAGATCGATTTGTAGAGTCTTACGAGTGTGCTTTTTCCGCTTCGAGTTTTGATTTGGTTGCGTGTAAACTGTCACATGTTGATTCAGTTCTTTTGGTTGCTGTGCTGCCGAAATGGTGAAAAGTCTTCTCTGGTTGACTTTTTAAGCCCCTGCACTGTGTGTATTTTACATGTCATTCCTACCGCACCGTTTGTGATGGGCGGAGGTCGCCGAGTCTCTTTGCAATTGCTGTACATGTCAAGTGTGCTTTTGAAATATCGCCTCGCATGAGTTGCCGTGGTCCATTCATATTTTTGTTGTTTGTGCGAGCGCACGTCTCAAATTCGATAATTGATTCACATGTGGATGCGTTCTTCGTCCTTGTTACCTGACCGGGAGGTTGAGTTAAATAATCCTGGTCCAGCTGCGGCGGCACCATTGTGCGTGTCAGTTTGATGGTAAAACATGAAACATCACTCAAAGTTTGAATTATACGCATGGGGACAGTTGGCAGGTAAAGTCGGGGCCAAAAAAAAGAAAGAAAGAAAAAAAGAAAGAAAGAAAAAAACATTGCGATATGGAGAGAGAGAGAGGTACACACGACAGGGAAAACGGGGCGGCGGGGAGGAGTTTGATGAAACAATAATCGACAGCAACAGCCAATAATGGGCTGCACTCGGGTCGGCAGGCTATGTAAAATCACACACGAGCTTTCGGGAGGGCATGAGCAAGTAGGACATGTGGGCTTTCAAAGCAGTTACGGGTCAAAGGTTAAGGCGAGTGGTCCGGCTTCACTTGCGTCCAAGGCGATGGGCGGCTGCATCATTCTCGGAATAGAAGCGGCGGCGATTGGACGTTGGCGGCATCTGAAAAGCAAAGGGGCAAAGGGGCAAAGGGGCAAGGTCAGGGTGAGACGGCGTAGTGCGAGATTTGGTGTCAGCAGGCACAAGTGGCGGGCGTACCTCGAAACGAATCTGCTCATCGATGCAGCCAGCGTCAAGGAGATCATTGAGCGCATCGGTGAGATAGATGTGGGCGCGGGGAATGTCCACCTCCAATTCGCTGAGCTCGGCGTAGATGCGGCGCAGTCCAGCGTGGCATTGTTCCTCAGAGACGTGGTTGGAGATGATGCAGTACTCCAAGAGCTTGGTGAGGATCTGAACCTGATCTTCATCAGCGCCGTGCTCCATGATACGCACGAGTACTTTGTAGACAAATTCGTGGTGGAAATGGGGGGAATCCAGATCCTTGAGGCAACGCTCAGCCTCGGCCAAGTCCTGGGCCAGGACAAACTCTTCAATGAGCATGTCGAGGCTCTCGCGCAACTTGGCGACGGGGGTCTGAGGGCCTTGCACGCCCCAAATCTGGTCCAGGCGGCTGCGTTCATGAGGGGTGGAGATGAGGTTACGGGCACGGCGAAGGAGGTAGTGGGCAGGGGTGGCCTTGGGCAAGGGGGAGGAGGCTTCGCTGCCACTGGCGTCCGTGCTTTGTGAGGCGGAGGCTTGACGACTGCGAGTGCGGGCATGAGCCAAGGGGTGGTTCAGGATGAAGGCCGGTGGAAGGCAGTCATCGCTGACGGAGCGGGCCATAAACTTGGCGAGGGCGTCAATGGCATCGGGAACATCGAGCATCAGATCCGGGAGTCGATCGATCAGCGTGTTGTAGGCGCGCTCAAAGTAGGCCTCTGGGATGAGGTTTCGGACCTGCAGCTCGGCCAGGAGTTGCGAGTAGCTCTCCCGGACCGAGTTGTGGCAATCCAGCGCGAGGTCAATGGCCATTTCAAGCACACGATTTTGGTTGTCATCAAAGTTGATCTTTCGGAGCATGTGTTCAAGGTCTTCCAGGTCGCAGTGATCGCGGTACTCGCGAAGGAGGGGCAAGACGAGATGACGCAGATCGTTGTCCGAGCAACGGGCATCAAAAACCTCGAGGGTGGGGTCCTCGAGAGGGGAGCCCGGGGGCATGTCATCGTCGGCAGCTTTGCCAAGGCTGCGCTCTGATGCGGCACGCCCGATTTGAATTTGGTCCGAGATGGAGCCCCAGCCACCCTTGCCGGCAAAGCCTGACTTGGAAGGGGCAGCTTTGGGCAAGTGGCCAGGCCGCTTGAGGTTGCGAGTAGCAGCAGCTGCAGCAGCGGCTGCTGCGGCTGGGGTAGCAGCAGTGGAACCCGAGAACGAGGCCCGGCGCTCGCGAGGCACTACGGTGGTGGCAGCGTGCAATGGGTGAGAGGGCATGCCGGTCGACGCTTTTGGCTTGTGGCAGCGATAAGCAGATGCAGACCAGAGATGGGTGAGGGTACGGGGTACAACTTACAGCTTGGCTCCATGAGGAGAGCAGTGGCAGCTGACATCTTGCAGGTCAGGGAGGACAAGCCGTCAAGCGTTGGAAGGTTGGGTTGAGGTGGGGTGGGTGGAGGATGGGTTGGCACGTCCTTGCTATGGCTGAGGGGCAGCGTTCAGGCCGAGTTGACACGGGGACCAGCAGCAACAGCAACAGCAGCGACAGCGGCCAACAGGCAAGTGTCAACGAGCACAGAAAACAGCGATGTGCGCACAGAGTCGCTGTGACGGGCAAGCAGGAGCAATCTCAATGTCGGTCACTGGCAGTGAGCGCGTCGTCAAAGAGGGCTGGCAAACCCGTCAGTGGCTGAAAGATGCAGACGCTTGACGGTGATCAAGGCGGAGGTGATTGAAAGCTGGGCAGTCAAGTCTGTTCAATGCCGTCGAAATAGCATTCACTTTTCCACTGAACAAGTCCAACGCCGGCGCTGCCGTTTCACACACCTCACTGACAGAGAGAGCGACAGAGCGAGAGAGAGAGAGAGAGAGAGAGAAAAAACTGAAAGAGACAGAGTGTGTGTGAGAGTAAGAGAGAGAAACAGAGAGAAACAGAGAGAGAGAGAGACTGGCGGAATAAAAGTCAGAGAGGCATAAGCAGTGGAAGAGAAAAATCTGGAAAACACCAGCTACTCCCCCTTTCTGCCCAGAGATGACTAGTTTTGTCCGCAAATCACAAGAGAGACAGAGAGAGACTGTTGTTGATTTTATTTTGGTTTCACACACACACACACACACACACACACACACACACACACATAACAACAGAACAGGGGCGACGCCATCACCACACTTGAATGACGTGGTCCAAGGGCTTGGAGGTGGAGGGGGAGCACACCTGCGATGCATGTGTGGGAGGACAGGGGGGTATCTGGTGCAATTCCACACAGGTAAGCCGCGTCCCTTTAAAATCTGACATTGGGCACACATTTTGACAGCTCATGTCTCAAATTGTATTTGTTTAATTTAAAGGGGTATTGTTAAAGCTCAAAAGCAAAGTCGACAGTCGGAGGAAGGAGGTGGAGTTGGCTAGCTATGGCGGCAGCTCATCATATCTCGACCCCGAGGTGGCAAACGAGGACGGGGTGGTCCACTGCGGCCGTGAAGCGCAGGCGAACAGCGTGCAGGGGAAAGTGGTGTGAGGGCTCGAGGTCCAGGACAGAGCGCCAGCTTGACTCAGAGTGCAGCAGCACCCGATCCAGGGGCTGGGACCATTGCCAAGTGCCCGTGGAGCCAACCACCACGCCCGCCAAGGGAGACCATGAGGGAGAGTCCATCCGCGCCGACTCGTAATACAATGCCTCCAGCACGGCATACTTCTCTGGAATAGTGCCCACCAACCCGGGCTCTGCGTGTGGCGAGGCACACCCACCAAAGCGAAGGGTCACCCGGCTCACGCGGGCAGGGCGCTGTAGCATCAGGGTCACACTGTGTCCTGGCATTGGGGTTTCCATCACCACTCCTTCCTTCAGTGGTAAATGAGCGGGTGGCTTCTCCTCGGCACTGCGCACCAGCTTGCCCGTGAAACGCACGCGCAGCGCGGGGGCACGAGCTGAACCGTCGCCGTCAAACAGCGCCGGGTAATGCAACCTTGCCCAGCCAGTGGGCCACTCCTTTGCTCCACCTGGCCGCACGGCAAAGGTGGTGGCCACCCCGCGATGGTCCGATGCATACAGGTGCGGCTGCACCAAGCCATCCAGCGCGTCCCCAAACAGGTAGACGTCCCGTTCCACCAGTGCCTCGGAGCGCAGTAAAATACGGTCGGGGCGGGTCGCTCGCTCGTACAGATTGGTCCGATTTGTGTAGTGAAAGTTGGTAAAGGTCCAGCCGGGATCCCAGGCAAAGGAGGTGTGCCACACATCGCGAAATGCGGGCCGCCGCGCGCTGTCACTTTGGCCCGCCTGATACTGGCGCATGGCCTCCGCGCAGCGATTGACGGTATGCTCACGCAGTGGCGCTGGTACGCGATTCGTCAGCCAATCTAGCGGCCACTCTGAGTTGACATAAATGTTGAGGTCCCCCAGAAGCACGACGTGGTCTGCAGCAGGCAGCGCATCGAGGTATGCCAGCAGCTCGCGTGCGGCATGGCACTGAGCCGTGGCATCATACGTCCAATGATTGGCCAGCACGTGGAGCGACTCCCCCGCTAGCGCCGGAATGGTGTCAAAGCGGGCATGCAAAAAAACACGTGCGTTGGCATCCACGCTCCCAGGCATGGGCGTAAGCGGGACCGTCTGCACCACTGCAGCCGGGAAGCGCGATACGATCGCCAAACCCTCCTCGCCCCCCTCCTTGGGATCCGCTTCGTGGGCCCGCGCGTAATATACGTATTCATACCCTAGCTCTTGAGCCAATAGGTGCGCTTGCGTGCTGGTGGGCTCGTGTTTCATCACCTCTTGCAGCGCCAGCACATCAGCCTGCACATTGCCCAAGATCTTGCAGATGCCCGTCCACCGCGTTTCCCACGCCAGGCGCAGGCCAAACAAGTTGTATGTTGCTACCGTCAAGTCGGCTGGGAGGCAGTATCGACACAGTGCGCGTCGTAGCTCGCTTTGATGCGCCTCGCGCCGTAAAGCCTGGCCAACATCCTTGCGAAAATCGTTCAGCCGATGCATTTCCAGCATGGCAGCATGCTGCTTGCGATCATAGTAGGTGATCAAGGCATCCCCCGCCTCTTCCGCCACCGCTCGCGGCCGCACCGGCGTTGGGGTCGCCTCAAGCAGTGGCGGGCAGCGCGTTGCGTAGAGCAGGGCCAGCACCCCCAATGACAGCGCCAGCGCCCCCAACCGCAAAGGTGACACCCTCATGTCCCAAGCACGTCGGCCTCACCCATCCATCAATCGTCGCCACTGAGCATCAGGAAGGGGAAGAACAAAATCAAAAACAACTTTCGCATGAATCAAAGAGGACGCAAGCTGTAGCCATCAATAGCTCACCCGCTACCGCCCGTGCCAGCCAGCCGGAAGGGGTACTAGGGGCTGGGGGGAACAGATCGGCGCTGCCCTCGTGTTTGATTTTCTTTTTTTGTTTTTATCAAATTCACGAGTTTCTAAAAAGTAAAATACTTTTACACCACACTCAATGGTATCTTGTGTGTGTGTGTGTGTGTGTGTGTTCGTATGGGGGCTCAAGGAAAGGGGGCGCAGCATTGCCAGGGCCGCGTCGTCGTGGCGAGATCGGGAAACCACGTCAAACATTCAGCCACCCCGGCCACCGTGCCTACAAGAAGGTCGTGGACGAGCGGATGAGATGTCTAGTTGTATCGGTGGGATCGAGTTACGGCTCTCTCAAGAGGTTTCTGGAGCGACCACACTCAAAGGGGCGACACGAGTGGTTGCCGGAACCAACCAGGTAGCGAGTGGGTACTGATCAGGCTAAGTTCTCCCAGAACCAGCGTGGCATTGTTCAGCAGCGCCGCAGCCGCAGCTACAAAGGTTGTGCATGCCTTGCGGACGGCTGGCCAGTGGGCTGCATCTATACCCAAAGCCACACCATGACTGTCTGTGGCCAGTGCAGCAGACCGCATCGGCGATACACTTCCAAGACAGAAACCAAACCTTGATCCAGGTAGCTTGAGTTGGAGCGTGTGGCAAGGAAGACGCCATCTACGTTAAGCCACGACGTTGGGGGGCTCCATAATCCTAGGATCACGCAGACCAGGAGTGCAAACATCACGTGCCTTGATAGCTCGTGCTCGCGGGCGAGGCGTGCAAGACCAACCAGATGCCAGCTGTTGTGATAGCGCAAAGCTTCGAGTGGCGTTGGGATATGGCCAAGGGTAGCTGCGTGCCATTCAAGCGGCAAAGTGAGACTGTGTGTGTGTGTGTGTGTGTGTGTGTGTGTGTGTGTGTGTGTGTGTGTGTGTGTGTGTGTGCCATCACCTCCGCTCGCCGGCGGTTTAGAGGGATGCAAAGAACTGCAAAAAAATACAAGCTTCACGCTCAAAGCTTGCCCGCAACCAGCAAAAGACGCACCGATTCTCAAAGTTGAGCATGAAATGAGCGGCAGCGCCCGAGCCCAAACAAACGCCTTCTCCGTGCAACGCCTTTTGTGCGGCCGGGCACAGCGCGCCGGTCACTGGATCCAACTTGGCAAAAAGCCAGTTGTTCCACCTGTCCACTCCCCTTCAGCCATGAGACGCGGCAGGTTGCACCATACTCACACTCGAATGGTCTGCCCCGAAAGACCTGATAGCCCGGCCAACGGCTCAACGTATACACAGACTCACCAGGTCAAAAAGTCCCCATACACAGTCAATCCACTCTGAGATCGTCCCATCCGTGCAGTGAGAGACGCAAGCGCATGCAGCTGCCCAGAACCAATATCTTTCCCTTGACTTGCTCTTACCTCGGCTGTGAGAACGGCAGGAATGGCCACGATTTTGTGTGCACAATCGTGAATGCTGCCGCAACCCTACAAGTGCCGACAAAAATACTGAGGCAAGAGCACGCTCGCCGTGCAGCGGATCAAGGGCTGATTCTTGCGGCTCACCAGGCCGGGGTCAACGTTGTAGAGCGCATCAAACGTCGGGGCCCAGGTTGAAGAGTTGCGCGCTAGCGCAGCATACAGCGTATTGTTGTAGCTACAATTTGTCGTGGCCACGCCAACGAGGGTGGGTGTGTCATTCATGAGCAAAGTGCTCCCGGGCCCACCAAGAAAAATTGGTCAGCGCAGCGTCATAAAGAGACTGTGCATCGTATGTAGCGCACAGACCGAGGCCGAGTGTCGAGGAGCGCGAGGGCAGATGCGCCGTAGGCGGAAGCGTGCCATGGCTGATAGCCACACGAAGTCGTCTCCAAACCAGCCAGGCGATAAAAGCCCGTGCTATTCTGAAAACCTGCCTTGCGCCAGCCGCAAGATCTCAATATTAGCCATTCAGGCGGCTTGATACAATCATGTCATCGCGTCCAGCAGGGTTGAGGGATCAAGAATGACAGCGCTGACCTTGAATCTGGTCTGCAACGTGTGCGCGCTGCTCAGCCGTCCAGTTTTGAAGTTGATTCACAAAGTGGAGAAGGTGCACGACATCCGTAATGCCGTAAAAGTGTGGCTCCTTCTCGCTCACCGCAAATCGATATTGCCCTAGCCGACGCAGATGTGATAGTGCAGGGCGGCATTGGCGTTTTTTTTTTTGCAACTTGGGCAAGCAGACGCGGCAGGCACGATCCACATACCCAGAGGCCCAATCGCGTGCTGAGCCAGCCACTGCGGCAGCAACTCTTGCTCAAACCTGATCAACGATGGCCGATTTGTTCCAACCCCCGCTTCGGCTCCCTGTCCCCCAGTTGCACCCACACCCCTGACAGCACCGGCCGCTGATAGCACCGCCAGGAGCACCAGCAGCACCGCCATGGACGCGATCGCGCGCTGCATGACCGCCCCCAGGCTGATTGCAACATCCGATCACCCTGGGAAATAAAGTAACGCAATCGGGCACGCCCTCGGAAATAAACACACGACGGCCGAAGAAAAAAAAGTCGAAGAAGCCGAAGGCGAACGGAAGAAGAAACGGCAGCGCCGTCGGATCAGCAGACATCCTTGCGGCAGCGCAGCAGGGACAACGAAACAAGAAATCTGACCATCCGGTTAATGAAGCAACGATCGGTTTGCAATAGCCGGCACAGTGCGCACTCGAACACGTGCATTCGCTCCAACAACAACAACACACACACACACACACAGACGCATTTTCCTTCTGCGCGTCAAACTCTTCGACGACCTTGTCAGTGAGCTTTTTTCTTGTTGAGCTGCCGCTGCTTTCGGCTTCCGTCGTCGTCGTGGTCCCATCGGCCTCACTGTTGCTATTTCTGTGTAGCATTCGGTTTTGCTTTGTGCATCTCTTCCAACCGCAAGTCAAGATGGCCACTGTTGGTTCTGCCACGTCGGAGACGCCCTTCTTCTCCATGGGTGAGGGGACCTTCAAGATTCCCATGACGCTCTACGCTGAGAACCGGTGCGTTGCTCCCTGTACTCGCCAACCCAACAGCCAAGCCCCGTTTGCTTCCCTGGGTGGGCTTTGTTAACGGTCCTCTTGTTCTGCTGCCACTCGCCTTTTTTCAGCCGCCGTCTGGTGGAGAACATGAAGAAGAACGGCCACTCTGGTGTCATCCTCCTCAAGGGTGGCGAGCAGGTGATCATATGCTTGCTCGCACGCTGCGGTCACTTTTGCGGTTTTGGTAATGGAGGCGCTCACGATTGACCTTGCCCGGCAATGCCCGACCCGCCCAGACAACCCGTCACGATACCGATCATGAGGACATCTTCCGCCAGGAGAGCTACTTTCATTGGTCAGCCCACTTGCACTTGAGCGATGCGAGACAAGGGGCCGGGCCGAGAGCGGGGAACGCCGACCGGCCTCATTACGGCCAATCACAGCAAGGCGGCACGCACCGTACAGGCATGGTCACATGCCCACGATCTCACGTTGCTTTTGATTTGGCTCATCCTCAGGGCGTTCGGCACGGTTGAAGCCGATTGTTTCGCTGCGCTGGATGTGGATACAGGCAAGAGCACCCTCTTCATTCCCCGCCTGCCCGAGGCTTACTCAATCTGGATGGGCACGGTTCGTTCAACATTATCCCCTTGACCGACTTTTGCCGACACGGCGAACCGCTTGAGCCCTTGTGCATCAGCTCACTGCTCGTGCCGGCCCCTACTTTTGGTTTAGATTCACCCCCCTGCACGCTTCCTCAAGCGCTATGCCGTCGATGCTTGCCAGTTTGTGGACGAGATCCCTACTGTCATGGCCGCCGACTACAAGGGCAAAACCATCCACGTGCTGTATGGTCGCAACTCTGACAGGTGTGCCCCTAGACCCCGCTTCTTGGGACACTGGCAACCTTGAAGACAGCTCATGGCAGCAAACACTCAATCGCTTGCCTCTTGCACGGTATAATCCTTCTTTCCCCTTGTTTATGATAGCGGCAACTTTGCCGAGCCAGCCTCATTCAAGGGTATCGAGGAGTTTCAGGTGGACCGTGACTCCCTCTTCCCCATCATTGCCAACCTACGCGTTTTCAAGACCGAGGCTGAACTCGAGGTCATGCGCTACGTCTCCGAGGTACGGGCCAGCTACCTGCACGTCCCATGTCACCGCTCTTACCACATTCACGTCATAAATCACCTATGAACCTGTGGCTTTTTTTTTCTTTTTCTTTTGTTCCCATAGGTCACCTCCGCCGCGCACGTGGCTGTGATGCGCCAAGTCCAGGTGGGCTGGAACGAATATCAAATGGAGGCACTCTTCAAGTTTCACACCTACAATTATGGTGGATGCCGCCACGAGGCCTACACCTGCATCTGTGCCTGCGGCCCATCAGGCGCCACGCTGCACTATGGCCATGCCGGTGCACCCAACGACCGCCCCATCAAGGTCAGGCATGCTATGACCGCCGCTTTCCCTGTACAGCCGGCCTTCTTCTGCACGCCTTGTCCTGCACCTGCATGGCACACGCATCAAAACGAACGCGGGTGCCTCGACTCAACCTCAACTCAACCTCTTTGTATGACAGGATGGTCAAATTGGGCTTTTGGACATGGGCGCAGAGTACAGCTGCTATTGCAGTGACATCACTTGCTCTTAGTACGCTTCTCGGGTCTAGCTCATGAATGGCGCGATGGCGCGCCCACACGCATCTGTCACCTATGTCGAGGAACTGAAACTCAATCCGAAACTGTTGTCGGGGCCGCTTCGTGCCGTTGTAGCCCAGTCAATGGCCGTTTTACTCAGGATCAGAAGGACATTTACCAGGGCGTTCTTGATGCTGGTGTGTAAGCCAAACCCAGAAACGGATGCGCTGGCACGTCAATGTTTCCTCCCATCTCAACGCCTGCCTTTTTATTTTTTTCTCCTTCTCCAGTCATTGCGGTTGAGACCGCCATGAAGCCCGGCGTGAGCTGGCATGATATGCACCACTTGGCCCTCAAGACGGTCACCGAGGCTCTCATCAAGACCGGTGTGCTTGTTGGCGATGCCGAGGAAATCATCAAGTCACAGCTTGCGGCCAAATTCATGCCCTCGGGTCTCGGCCATCTCATTGGCCTGGACACTCACGATGTCGGCGGCTATCTCAAGGGTGCGTGTCCGATCTTCAGCGATACTGACAAACATGTGCTTTTGCGTGTGCATTTGCGTGTGCTTTTGCGTGTGCTTTTGCGTGTGCTTTTGCGTGTGCATTTGCGTGTGCATTTGCGTGTGGTGTATTCTTATTCTCGGCGCTTTCCATGATCCAGGCTTTCCGGAGCGCTCAACCCTTGACGGCTTCAAGAGCCTGCGCACGGCCCGCGATCTCGAGGAGGTAACACACCCCTTCATAGTTTACTTTTCAATTGTTGTTCCATGATCGGCCCCTCGCCATGCAATGAGACCTCGTGGGTCACTTTGTCCCGAAGATTGTTGCTCATACACAGTTCTCGCATCTCCACTGTAGAACATGGTCTTGACCGTCGAGCCTGGTATTTACTTTATCGAGAGCCAGGTCAACATGTTGCTTGCAGGCTCCGAGTTTGATAAGTACATCAACAAGGAGCGCCTTGAGCAAGTGAGTGCTGGCTGCACACCTAGAGCCCTTGGTTGACTCTAGCCTAATCGTCCCCCCTTTTTTCCGCAATCTTAACCATGCATTACTCTTTTTCATAGTTCCGCTATTTCGGTGGCGTGCGCATCGAGGATGTTGTGCTCGTTAAGAGCGACGGCATTGAGAACTTTACGCAAACTCCACGTGGCATCGACGAGATCGAGTCTGTTATGTCGGGTGGCCAATGGCCCCCGGCCGAGGATAAGTACCCTCAACTGAAGCGCCAATTCACGACCTGGCGCTCAGCAGGTCTCAGTCAATAAACGCACTTGCGTGCTTGCGCGGGCGTGAAAGTCCCTTTCTTGTTGGTGCTCGCACATATAATAAGGAAAAACCAAAATAAACGCGACATGTTCAAGACCTACCTGGCTTGATTGCCGGTGCGAGTTTGCAGAACATGGGTTGTGGATCAGGGATTGTGCGCTCAGGAAAGACTGGACTTGGATATCATGACTTTGTGGCTGCAACCATCGCTCCGCTTGTCAATTGCAAAACCCTTGCGTCAAAGAACATTATTGCCTGTTTTCATTTGGCGGACCTCTTGGCGACTGTGTCGATGAGCCATCAAGCCTTCTTGTGTTGCGTATATATATATGTCTGTGAGTGATAGTTGATTTGGGCGGGCTCTGCCTTGAGGGAATCAGCAAAAGGCACATCATGTAAATTTGGTGGCGTCTAAATATGTTGCTTAAATTTGAGGCATCATCGCTCAGCAGGAAAGCACCAATAATTCATGCAGGCAATTGTGGCCTTGATTGAGCCAATCCTAGGGCCTGATTCAGAGACTTGGTCGAGAGACGGTGACAGTGACGGCCTGCTCAGGTTGAACAGCTTTGATGAGAGCCCCGGCCTCGGCCACAGTCATGGTGCTCGTGGCTTGCCCATCAATGGCCACAAGCACGTCGCCCACAGCCAAACCCGCTCGTTGAGCCACACTAGCCGGCGTCAGCGACTAACAAGTACCTCGATGAGTCGCGCCACACATGTTAAGGTGTCTTCATGGTGTTCCTGCCTCTTCTGGCTTTTTGATCGTGTTCCACCCAAGCTCGCCCTTCTTTTATAAAACAGCGCGTGCACACGCACACACCTTGATGCGCAATCCGGTAGAGCCATCGCTGGATCCCAGAATAAATCCAAGACTACCAATGGCCGGTTTGACAATCCGAAAGTCCCGGGGTGTATCCTCCTGATCTGTTGGTAACGGTGTCTGAGGCGTGCAGGTGCAGGTGGATCGGCGTCCCGCCAGAAGAGGGTGTGAGCGTGAGCGCCCACAACAGGATAGAGACACCAGGAGAGCAGTGTGAATAGTCATGGTCAATTCACAATGTAGCTAATATATAAGGTGGAATGCCCAACAAGACGATGTCCTATTCAAGATTTACCGAGCCAAGGCCGGCAGATTGACGTCGCGCTCGCGCCGCTGCCAAGAGTGATGCCACCTGCGATTCGAACAAAATGAAGTTGACATGGTCAATATTTTTGGCGAGCGACGCTGAAGAGGTATTGTTCAGCAGCGACACTCATCGACATCGCCAGGCCACAGTTGCCCATCTCACCTTTGAGGAACCGGTGGTCGAGCTGGGAGCGTCGCTCACTTCTGACTGCACGTCACTGCCTACATCGCTTGCCGCGCTAAACACGCCGCATGATGATTCCAATATTAGGTGCGAGGTCTCGGTAGGCGTGATATTGCGATGAGCGTTGTCTTACTTGGGCAGAGCTTGTGACCGCTCCTGACGCCGCCTCCGAGCATCGGCCAGTAGCCGTGATATCTGTCATTCACGAATCCAGAACCAAAAGCATGGGCGCGCACGCACGAAAAATGATATTATTATTTTTGTTTAACATGCAAGCAAATGAACGACAATGCACTGCAGGCCATACCCTATCGGTCGCAGCCTCGCCGTTGTCACCAGACGTTGATGGAGGTACGGGGGTGGCGGACCCTGACGCTGCGGGTGTGCTGTTTGTTGATGTCGTAGGCACGGGAGACGACGTAGATGGCACGGAAGCATTGCCCATGCCTGCCAATGCAGGTCGCGTGGCCGTGGCAGTGGCGGGGGTCGCATAAACGGAGGTGCTGGTGGATGCGATAGGCGTAAAGAAGCCCGGTGTTGATGCACCTGAGCGTGCCTGCCCGGCTTCGGGAGTTGCCACCCCCTTATCCGAGGGCTCGGCATAGGTTCGGGCCCGGTTGATGGGTGGCGTACCCGGGGCATCCAAGCTGTCTGTCGAGCCTGTGAGGTTGCTGGTAGCAGCACGTTCCAGGCGGCGACGGCGAGCTGCGTCCAGAAGCGCTTGAACGTTGTTGCCGGATGCGGGCTTGGCTGCGGCTGCGGTCGATGGAGTAGCAAGGTCGACCGATCCCGCAGTATCGCCGCTTGCTTCCTCCGTGAGAGTAACTTCGGTTTCTTCTAACAATGCCGGCGCAGGCGTGGCTGCAGTGGCTGTAGCCTCCTTCGCTCGTTGCTGGGCTTCCTGCTCTCGACGACGGGACTCGGCCAGCCGCTCAGCTTCTTGTTCCTTGCGCCGACGTTCGATATCTTCGGCCAACTTTCGCTGACGCTCCGCCTCAGCCTGGCGCCTGCGCTCTGCCTCAGCCTCCTCCTCAGCCTGCTTCTGTCGCGCAGCAGCCTCAGCAGCCTGCTTCTGTCGCGCAGCAGCCTCAGCAGCCTCGGCTTCTTGACGCTGTCGCTCAGCCTCAGCCTCTGCTGCTTGCTTTTTGCGCATTGCCTCTGCTTGCTGCTCCTTGCGACGGCGCTCAATGTCTTCGGCCAGTTTGCGCTGGCGCTCTGCCTCGGCTTGACGCCGGCGCTCAGTTTCGGCCTCCTCTTGACGCTTCCGCTCGGCCTCAGCTTCGGCAGCTTCCTGGCGTTGGCGCTCGGCCTCAGCTTCGGCAGCTTCCTGGCGCTGGCGCTCGGCCTCAGCCTCAGCGGCTTCCTCGCGTTGGCGCTCGGCCTCGGCCTCAGCAGCTTCCTGGCGTTGGCGCTCGGCCTCGGCCTCAGCAGTTTCCTGGCGTTGGCGCTCGGCTTCAGCCTCAGCAGCTTCCTGGCGTTGGCGCTCGGCCTCAGCCTCAGCGGCTTCCTGGCGTTGGCGCTCGGCCTCAGCCTCAGCAGCTTCCTGGCGTTGGCGCTCGGCCTCGGCCTCAGCAGTTTCCTGGCGTTGGCGCTCAGCCTCGGCAGCTTCTTGGCGTTGGCGCTCGGCCTCGGCTTCGGCCTCAGCAGCTTCCTGGCGTTGGCGCTCGGCTTCAGCCTCAGCAGTTTCCTGGCGTTGGCGCTCAGCCTCGGCTTCGGCAGCTTCCTGGCGTTGGCGCTCGGCCTCGGCAGCTTCTTGGCGTTGGCGCTCGGCCTCGGCTTCGGCCTCAGCAGCTTCCTGGCGTTGGCGCTCGGCTTCAGCAGCTTTCTGACGCAGGCGCTCAGCTTCAGCATGCTGGCGTTGTTCTTCTTCTTTTTCGAGGCGCTCTCGCTCGGCCTGGGCTAGAGCAGCCTCCTCTTCGAGCCGGCTGCGTTCCATGGCCTCAAGGCGTTCACGTTCAGCAGCAGCTTCCAACTCTAGGCGTTGCTGTTGAGCTTCTAGTTCACGCTGAGCCTCATGCTCGCGAGCGACACTCGTGGCATCTGTGGCTGGTGCCTCGTGCACATCTGAGGCTTGCGGGCTAATGAGATGGTCGACTTGATCAGCTTCATCTGCTGTTGAACCACGAAGTAGATATTGCATGGTTTGAGGAACTTTGGCGCTTCCAAAAGGCACAGGTTCTGATTCAGAAGCGCCTTGACCCTGAGCGCTGCCACTGTCCTCACGTCGACTCCGCCGCGACAAAGAACGCTCGCGGGCGCGCGCAAGGATCTCCTCCGTTTTTGCCCGAGCAGTAGCCTGACCGCGCTCACGGGGTGTGGTGGCACCCGAGTCCTGGCGTACGTCTTGAACCGTCATCTGGGGCATGTCTGGCGAAGAGGCGCCAGTGTCGCGGTGGCTGCGCATCACATTATCACGCTTCTCCTCACTTTGTCGCATCACGCTATATGACAACTGTGTTGACGCCTCAGCTTCAGTATCTGGTAGGGACAAGTTGGAGGGGTCGGTGAGTGTGGGCGACTCCATCCTTGGAGGTTGGATGGCAGCTACCCGGCGTGAGTCGCTAGGCTCTGGTTCAAATGTGCGCGCGCGGCGACCATTGCCACCCCCATTGATGGAGCGGATGTTATTGAAGCTTGAGTTGGCTCCAGGCGTTTGGACGGATGCGAGCGCAGCGTCCAAACTCTTCACGAATGGAGTGCCAGGTTCTGACGGGCCTGGTTGATCCCGCGTGCGCCGGGACACCGTAACTGGCAAGGGAGAAGCCAAGCTATCCTCTGAGGCAGCAGGGGCATCAACACTTCCCCAGGCGTGTCGCGGCGTGGGTGCTTTCTCCGAAGCGGTGTTGGAGGATGAATTCACCGAGCGCGACTCTGGCTGGTGAGAGGGTTTCTGTGCAGTCCTTTTGCGATCTTTGCGAGTTGCCTTGCTCCCTCGCGCTGAGGCGACCGAAGAAGCGGCACTGCGTTCTTGCTCAGCCACCCTAAAGACGAAAATCGGTTGGAAATGATGCGTGAGGGGCACTGCGTGCACATGTCCGAGCACATGAGGGGGTGTGCTTGGTACGAACTGTTGCTTGCGAGCCTCGATCTCTTCCAAGCGTCGGCGATGGCGAGCTGGAAACATCTATGGCAGTCAGGTATACACTCGAGGTGAGTTGCCATTTCGGCGCCCTCTGATCAGTGGTCAAGGCAGTAAAACTGTTATGCGCGACGCACTTTGGGGTTAGTGAGGCGATCAAAGACGCTGGCTCGCGCCGCCTTGGAGCGAGACCGTTTGGCAGACTGTGCAAGTTGCTGCTCGGCCACACTTGGCATGTCTCTGCAGGTTGAGCGTGTTGAAGATTGAGTCAAACCAATGGAGAGGGGGAGCCACACAAAAAAAAAAAAAAAAAAAAAAAAAAAAAGAAGAACCAAAGACAAGCAAAGCTCGTCCATCGCAGTTGGTATCACATGCATGCATCGTTCTTGAGCTACGTACTCGGGTTGTTGGCGTCGTGGAGATGGTTGACCAGGGCTGGGTGTATTGGCTGCCGCATCCTTATCACGGCGGCGCTGACGGAAGGCCTGAGGGAAGAATTTAGGTTTACTGAGACGCTCAAAGACGGACATGCGAGGCCGATCGTTCAGGTCTTGACGCGGTTCTGTGGGGGCTGGTTGGGGATTGAGGTCGGGGGTGCGGTGTCGGCCAGCCGATTCGCGCCGTGACTCGGTCCGGGACTTTTCTTGCGGGGTAGCAGCACGCACGAGGCGGCGGGTGCGGCGAGGGGTGACCAGGGCGCTGTTGCTGGTGCTGGACGCAGGCGCACCCGAGGAAGTTGGGGCTGGGGCTGGCGGGTGACCATAGTCGCGTAAGAAGCTACGCGAGGGCATTGAAGGGGTGAAGGAGCCCATGATGCGTTCCTGTGAAGGAGGAGTGTTTGGGATGGCGCGCGGAGGCGAGCCAAACAAGTTGGCACTAGAGCCGGGGCGTGATGTCGAGTGATTACGCTTCCAAAGCTTGGTTGGGGTGGTGGCCGGACGGTGCTCCTGGACGACAACGGGGTTGACGACGGGCGGATGGTCACGTAGTTGGGTTGCATGCCTAGATCGAGGGCATGGGATGGCAGGACAGGACAACCGCATGAGTGACGGTTGCTGGAATGTGGCGAGTGCAAGAGCGAACACGGTGCAGCCTTGTACGTACCGGTCGAGATCTGTTTTGCGTGTGGGGGGTTGCCATTTTGTGGGTTTGCGCTCCTTCTTGCGGCGGATGGCATCAGGATCCTGCTGCCAGGGTTTGAGATAGTTTCGCTGTATAGGGGAGCGTGAAAGTGTACGGAGACCGGAGTGAGTTTGAATTTATGTTATTTTCCAATGCAATGTGGTGCGAGGCGCGAGCAAGCTGTGGGACTGTAGACGCACACGCGGTTTGTTCTTGTCGTGTTTCTTGGGTGACGGGCTAGGATCCTGGGGAGGCCATCATCGGGCCAGGGGCGGGGATGGAATGGATTGGGAAGCAGGATGAGCGGCATGGGTGGTGGTGGCAAGCACAAGCACGTGGCGCGAGCTATTCAGAGCATGGGTTGCGCGGAGCGGGGCAGTTAAGGATACGAACGGAATCGCCTTCGCGCACAAGAATGCGTTGCGCTGGATCTCGCGGTTGCAACACCGGAGTAATGTAGCGCTGATGAAACGTCGAGAGGCTGGATGGACAAGAGAGATAGGCATGGGCATCGAGACTGTTAGCGCGAGTGCAGGGACGCGAGGCGTGATGGAGGAGACGGTCACAAAAGCATCAAGGTCGCAGCAGGCCACAAAACACACACACACACACACACACACACACACACACACACACACACACACGCGCGCACACACACCCTCAACTCCCCTCCCCTCCCCCTCTTCCTACAAAACGAAGCACGGGACAGCTGCCATCGACTTGGGGAGGCAGGACGTCTGGGCAGAAGCGTGCGTACCCGGCAGCCGGCAGCGGTCGGACAAAGTTGGTACTGGGTTCATCAAAAGTGGCCATGCTGTCGGTGCAAGAGAAAAGATGGGTCTCGGAGAAAGACTGATCAACTGCCTTGTACGGATCAGGCCATGTCCCACCCCGCACACAGACTCGCACTCGTCCGACGCCCCCTCCCTCCCCCTTTTGGGTCCGAGACCGAGACCGCTCAACCGATCAAGAGCCAGCTCAAGTCCACTGGGTGTGAATTGGGTGCTGAAAATTCAAAAAGTAGAGAGAGAGAAGAGAAGAGAGAGAGAGAAGAGAGAGAAGAGAGAGAGAGAGAGAGCTGGAGAGAGAGAGAGAGAGAGAGAGAGAGCTGGAGAGAGAGAGAGAGAGAGAAGAGAGAGAGACGGAAGAGAGAGAGAGGAGATTTAGAGAGAGATGAGGGTTTGCTTCTTTCACCTTGTGACGGTTATTTTTGGGCGATGTCAAAGTGTGATGGATATTAGGGTTGATGACAGGCGGAAAATAGAGGGTGACAACTGGTGTTGTAAACATAAATTGATGGAGTACGGCCGCATGGCGGAGCGTAGGGAATTCACGTAGGCAGGGGGATCAGCTACTGATGGGTGAGAGCGTCAAGGCCTTGAAGGAAGGAAGGGGGGCGGGGGATCGTGGTTGATACGTCTGCGGGGGAGCAGGGCAGATGTGATGAGCGTGGTTTGGTTACAAACAACAGGCTACCAAGTTGATCGCGCACCGCCCGCGAAACCAAAATAATAATGTACCGACATCAAACAAGGTTCACGCCATAGGCACCCACAGGACAGGGTGAACGAAAAGCCGAACGTGCAACTGGGCAGAGCGGGCGCTTGGACTGGAGTCTAAACGGGCAAAACCACCATCGCTGCAGGAGCCGGGACGGGGGGAAAACGGGATCGCGGCTGCGCCATCCCGCATCTGATCCCCGCCCCGTTAAGCACCCCGCAACTATGGCAGCCGCTCGAACAGGCTCGCGTCTGCTCGCTCAAACCCAACCCCACGCCATTTTCTCAGACAACCCGCCCGTGCAGACACAGGGCATGGAACCACGGGCAAGCAAGGTTGTTGTGTCCCTGCCCGACCCTGAGAAGCTGGCCATGCTGTATGGGCTCGTGCGTTCTCTTCATCCGATCACTGTATGAAGTGCTGCACCTCCGAGGAGGCCCACCACCCCAGATCAGGTAAAGCTATCAGCAGGCCGTCATCTCCAACCCCTGGCTTCCCATCCCCCCTCGTTCAGAACGAGCCGCCGTCCCCGCCGGCAGACCACCACCACCACCACCACCACTACGACACACACGGTCACATGTTCACATACCGAGCGAGGTATTGCAGAAAAAATGAACACCAAGTAATCATGAGTCCATGCTCTTAGAGAGCTTAGAGAGAGCTTAGAGAGAGAGAGAGAGAGAGAGAGAGATAATTTTAGAGAGCGAATGTTTTGAATAGAGGGAGCATGAAATTTCAAGCGCAAAAGAAAAAAGGAAAATTACCACATGTAATTTGATGTAGAGAGAGCACAGTGAGCCGATGAAAATTCGGCCAGAGGGATGATGGGCGAGTAAAAATGAAAAAGAGGATCATCTTACGGGTCTAAATCTTTCAGAGATCAGAGTGAAACCAAGAAAATCATTCCTTGTGAAATAAACGATAAAGTAGAGAAACTAAAATTAATAGAGCAAACCCTAGAGATACAGAAACAATCATTTTCAGAATCAGAGAAATAGCGCTTGAAAATTCAACTGCAAACCCTCCCCCATAACGGGCGGACATGATCAGTGGCTGGATCGGTCACCAAGGGTGGTGCTTGTGACAAGCCGGCTCGAGGGCGCGCCGATGCTCTGTCGCACACACACAAAGAAGGATAAGGAACCAAATGGGTGCGCAAAAATTAAAAAAAAAAAAGTCGGGGGTGTGAGGATGGCTGCCATTTTATTATTTTTTTCCTCGAGCCCTTCGTCCCGCTGCGTGTGTAGGGTTTATGCTCGCCCGCCTGTGCGTCCTGGTCGCAGATCTCCGGTCCCTTTGCCCGCTGCCATCTCGACCAGACCGTGACACTCATTTTCGAAATTCATCCGAGCGCATCCTTCAAACCCGGCCACTGCCAAATCACGCCCCACCAGCCATCCGCCACCAGCGAAGAGCTGTCGCCATACCTAAGGTCTGTGTGTGCGTGCGTGCGTGCGTGTGTGTGTGTGTAAAGTCTTCAATTTTTTATTTTTTTTTTTGTTATTTTCGCAGAGAGAGAGAGAGATCGAATTGTTGAACGCGCGTGCGCTTTACTCCTCTCCCTCTGTCTCTCTCTCTCTCTGTCTCTCTCTGTCTCTGTCTTTCTCTCACTCACTCACTCACTCACTCACTCACACTCTCTCTCTCTCTCTCTCTCTCTCTCTCTCTCTCTCTCTCTCTCAATCTCTCTCTCTGTCTCTCAGTGTCGATAGTCCTCCCGCCCCCCCCCCTTTTTTTTA